AAACATCTGCTTTGTAAGTTGCAGGAAATTGCATATTTTGTAGTTACAAAGTAGGTAAGGTGATACCTTCTCCTGCCAGTATAGGAGTTTGCAAGCTTTTGAGTTACACAGAACTTGCCATTAGGCAGAACGGAAAGGTACCGTCTATGCCAAAATATTCTACAGCCAGCATTTCAAAAAAACCTTCAAGAGGGGGGCAGGTCTCATTCACTCAATAGCTTTGATTGCTCACTACCACACCATGACTCACTGGCTCACATAACAAGGGTGTACTTATGTTCATTCTTCCATTGTTAGGAGGGTACACTGATGTCTTATCCCATAACCTGAAAAGGAACAGAAAGAAGTGTGTACCCCACTTTCCTCTCACCAGCTTCCTGAGCAAATGGATCCTGGGATTTATTGTCTGTGCGCGGTGCAGGATGGGGGGGAAGGGAGGGAAGAGGAGAGGGGGAGGGGGCAAAGGAAGCTATGCCTGGCAAGGCCCTGGGATAGATTGACCCTGACAGATGTTTACAGTGGTGCTGAGGAAGGGGGGTTATTATAGAGCCGCAGACTAAACAGACCTTGATGCAGGGAGGGGCAGATAGCACTGCCCCCAGCCCCACCAAATCTCCAATCTAAAGTGAGGGGGGCAGGTTCTAGGATGGGGTCCCACGGAGGAAGCAGCATAGGAGATGGCGAGCTTGTGGCAAAATTATCCTATCCTCTGCCACTGAATTTTGCCCAGACGGTTTCCAAAGTCAGGCAGCTACTGAAGAACTAAACAGTGAGGTTTAAATGTGGTGAGATTAGAGGGAGAGATGTCCAAAGGAATATACATACGCAGGAGGCTGCAGTGAGTGACTCAGGGGAAGAGGCTGATCGTTGGAGGGAATTCCTTGTGAGGGAAGAGAGGGAGCCAGGCCAGAACAATACAGTGACCTTTCTGGTCCTCGCAAGAAACCACGGAGGTTCCTGACGTCAGAGGCCCATTACGAAAGTGCCTGTTCCCAACACAGGGAAAGGTCATGTCTGGTTCCAACACATTTTCATCCAACTGGCATCTTTCTCGGCATGTAGTGGTGTGCATGCGTGTGTATGTAATGGGAGAAAATGGGGGCGGTGGAGGAAATCCCGTCACTTCCCAGAACTGGGAGATCCTGCCATGGTTCTGCCAACAATTGTCCATCAATCTGATTTGATAATCCAGAGCTGGTGAGAGAATTCCAGCGTTCAGTTCCAAAGACAGGCTTTAAGCTCAGCCTGCAGGCCTCAGGCTTCCTTTGCATGTGCACACACATACACGCTCAAATTTCACGTATAATTGCACAGGAAACCTATTCACATCAATTTTTGCAGTCAAACATGCATTTAGAGATTTGTGAGGAAACCCTACACCCATTTTATTTCTATATATCTTTAAATGTACATACGCATACACACACACGGCCGTTTTGGCTCTCTGAGGGCCCTCAATAGTGTACTTCACAGCATTCTCTCATCTGAAGCGGTTCCCAAAGTCAGAGCTGGCCCAATATATTTTTCTGCCTGAAGCAGAAGGCAAGCTGGACACCCACACAGACACCCACAAATTCCACATACTGGACTGGCAGGTGAAACTTACTGTAATACAGAGCTGGCCCAAGACATTTTGCTGCCTGAGGCAGAATGGCAAACAGCATCCACTCCTCTCGCCAAGTCCTGGTCACATTAATGATAGGCTGGCCAAGTTATTTTGGCACCTGAGGTGGAGAATCCCACAAGTACCTTTTCCCGAGAGTAAAAATTAAGAGAAGCATTCAACTAGATCCGTGTGTGGAAGGAACAACTTCCACTTGTGAAACAGGACTCCCCACCACCACCACCATTCACATCCCCAAATCTGCTTCTGAGGGTTGGAAGAAGCCCCAGAATGAATTTAGAGGGCTTGTTGGTCAAGCGGATTTCCACTTGCACAAAAATTTACATAGCGCTACGGTTGAATAAAACCCAACGCTTTCAGCCCTTTTGTGACATTCAAAGCCAGCTGCCTGAGGCAGCCACCTCACTCAGCCTGACAACTGGAAAGCATCCTCCACCATGCCCGAGGGCAGCAGGCAGTTTTGTGGGGGCACAGGGCAGGCCCTGTGGCACACATTGCCTTTTCCTCTGACTAAGGGGAACACTCAAGGGGCTTAGGGAAAACAGCCAAGCAGGGCTAACACTGCTGACTAGCACCTGCCACCTGAGGTGGTTGCCTCACTCTGGCTTTTGCAATTTCTGAAGGCCAAATAATGGCTTGAGGGCAGCTACTCAAGCCCTGCTCATAAGCCTCACAAAGCATCTGTCCAGCTGCTGCTAGGAATTGAATGCTGGGCTACATCAATCTTTCACACGTTCCAGAGCTCTTCTTATGTTCCTAAACCTTCTTGGGCTCTTGTCTAGTAATCTGGAATACTGCCCCCACTTTCACTTTAATGGAAATGTAGGCAAATTGGACAAAGCACATTTTATTGAGAAAGGTGGAAGGATCTGGTTATGTTCAGCCTGGAGAAAAGGCGGCCAAGGGGGTAAATGAAGCACTCTTCAAATACCTGAAGGGATGTCAGCAGAAGGACTTCCTTCTGTCTGCTCCAGAAGGAAGGACTAGATCTAATAGGCTTGAGTTAGGAGACACCTCTTGATGGTGACAACAGTTTAACAATGGCAGTGATTATATAGGAGTGGGAAAAGACTCTTCCTCATTGGAGGTTGTCAAGCAAGAGGCTGGAAGGCATCTCGATCTCTGGCTTCCCTGAGAATTTTGCTGCCTGAGGTGAAGGACAAGATAGCGTTTGATTTCCTGTGTAGAAGCTGACTGGACTGGTAGTTTAACCTAACTTCAGTACTGGTGAGTGATGATGGGATAGTGTCCTCTACTACATGTGAGGCAGCAGGCTAGTTTAGTGGGGGAGGGCCAAATTGGGTAGCATACACAGCTCTGTCTTCCAACAGAGGGAAATAGCCTGGGGGCTTCAGAGGATGACCTGCTGCTTGAGGTCCTAATGGTAGGACTGGCCCTGGCTGAACGTGACTGGCTACAAGGCCCTCTCCAATTCTATGACTGGTAGACTCCTGCCTTAACTGACCAGAGAAAAGAAGAAATATGAGAAAACAACTTCCACTTATCAGAGACTGTACATACATTAATTCCCATCAAAAAGTAATGAGGAAAATCTGCTCTTAAAAAACACACACAACAGTCTGGACAGTAATATGTCACTAAGTAATATGGGCACTAAGGAACACTGAACAAAAGGGCCTTTGACATAAGGAATGTGTGGCGGGAAGATCCCTGGTTCTTATTTTCTGGCCCTGTCTTTTCCATATACTTTGGCAATACATGCCATGTCTATAAAAGCAACCCTGCCTTTTGAGTCCCTGTTCCAGAATGTCAGTTTTTTTAAGCACAAAACTCAATGAGAAAATAAGCAAACAGTCCAACAATCCAAACAGGGTGAAAATGCCTGAACAGAAAAAATCAACAAGTTGTTCAAGATAACATATCAACCTTTGTGAACCTTATACACCAGCACTGTGGAAGTTGACTGAGAGGTAAGTCCCACAGAGTTCAATGCAAATACCCATAGGATTGCAGCCTTAAATGTGATGCCCACTTAAGGGTTTATGGGTCTCCTATGATTCCCTATCACAGCAAAAAACTAAGGCAATGGTACTTGACAGCAAGCATGACTGGATTTTGAGTGTTCTTTGCTTTTTGGTGCATGACTTATCCATGATTTTTTGCAACTGAATAAACACTCATTACAAGGCACTAAGGATGCAACCTAGGTATAAGCTCATTGGGTGGACTAACTTCTCCTATCCAAGTACTAACCAGGCCTAACCTGGCTTTGCTTCAGGGCAGACTTAATTCTGAGCAAGCATGCACTGGACTGTTCTGCACCTCTGAGTCTCCCTCACCCTATTTATGTGCACGTTTGAATGTTGTAAATGCAGTCTAGAAGGCAGATGAGAACAATATTTAAATAAAGATGCATTTTCTAGTAGCCAGTGTTGGTTCTGCATTCACATTACTGATGCAGCAAACGCAAAAGTCTTTTATGCCACAGTCCTCTGCATGTTTACTCAGAAGTAAGCCCCTTTGTGTTCCATGAGGCATACTCCCTTGTGTGTTTAGGACCTCAGCCTCATAAGGCAATCCTATACACAGAAACAAGTTCTATCAAGTTCCAGTGGGTCTTTCTCCCAGGACTGGAGAATACAGGACTGTACCTTTGCATAGCAATCCTATACACGTTTACCCAGAAGAAGCAAGTCCTGCTATGGGCCTTACTCCTGGCTATGAGTGCAAAGGCTTGCAGTGCTCTGCATGACAGGATCCTTTAAACGGCAAAGGAGTTCAAAACTCCTGTGTTGCCTGGATGAATAAATCAGAGAAAGAACAACAACTCTTCACCTAGGAATCCAAGAGGTTTGCTTATATATTTCAAAAAAATTATTCCTTCTATTCTCCAAAAGCCTGATTTCCAGAAGATAACAACGTAGAGTATCTCCTCACCAGTCAAGTGAGGAAGGGGGGATACAGTAGATCAACCTTAGGGAATCGGGATCGACTTTATGGGGTGTGGATTGAAAACAGCCCTAAGAGCATTTACCTGATTCGTACACCTCTCGGCCAGACAGTGAGGCATCATTGAGCTGAACTGAAAACGGACGGTGCTGAACCCGATTGGGGTGGGGGGTGTTGCTCGCTTGTGACTCACTCCCCTTTCTGTTTGGGTTGGCTGAGCCCCGCGGTGCCGTGAGCCCCCACGAAGGTTTTTTTTTTAAACAGCTCAGCCCCACATGTTATGGTGTGAGAGCCTGGGCGGGGCGGGGGCGAGAGGAGGAGGGTCGAGTTTCCAGAGTTGCAGGCGATGTTGGTTCCAAAACAAACAACAAAGCTGGCCGTAGACTTTTACGTGGCGTGGTGGGGGGAGGCTGAAGGGGTCGAGGGGTGTGGACGACGGCAAGCTGGGCACAGATTAAGGTGGCCCTGAGGCGAGAATGGGAAGAAGCAATCAAAACATGGAGGAAAGGGGCCGCAGCGCATTTTTGCAACTTTTTAGAATGCGATCTGAAGAAAAGAGCTTCTTCACCGGGGGAGGGGGTGCATTTACTTTTTCTCCCTCACGTACAAAAGAGAAGTTGGATCAGGCTAGATAAGGACGTGATTGCGGCCTGCAGAAAAGGTGGTAGATACGGGAGAGGGAGGAAGGGAACTGATTTGTGGGGCCCTGAACTTCCGCGGCCATTGCAATCAACGAGCTGTATTCATTTATTTTAAGATTTGTATCCCGCTTTGTCACCGGAACTTCGAAAGCGGCCGCCAGTATAAAAAGCCCTCTAAAAACCAGACCAGAAGAGTTAGTCGGGTTGCTTAATGGCGGCTGGAGTTACGGGGAATGCGTATGGTGAGCCCAGAAAGCTCACCGTGGAAGATTCTCGCAGCATTTCTCCAGACGTTTTATTTTATGGATTCTAAGCGAATAGGTACATGGAGAAGATAATAGACTAGTCCCAGCAGATTTATCTTGGGAGGAAGGTCGCGTCTATGATTTACGTGATAAGGAAGTTTTATTTTTGCATTCGCAAATATTTTTTGATTCTCGAGGCTGAAAGTCAGAGCAGCAAGCCAAGAAAATAGGCGCCCTGTCTTTAGGAGTCAGTACAAGAGATCACTCTGCCCACCTCACCCTCGAAAAAATTAAAGGAGCAACTGGTTGCCCTTATGTTTAGCGGGGAGGGCTTAATCTAAATCTAAATCTCCAGAGTGAAAGAGACTACTGGGAGAGGAAAGGGTGTAAAGGGAGCAATTGCTTTTCACCTTGCAGGTATGCATAATACTTTGAAAGGAAGCCTTTGATGCAGTGAACTGGGGTAGACACCCGTCCTCTCCTGGTTCACACACAAAGGGAAGGACTAAGACAGGCATGTCCAAAGTCCATATCGGGGCCTGCCGGTCAATTTTATCCGGCCCCCGCGGCAGTATATGTCCTGGGGTAAAACCCTAAAGCTCAACAACTTTGGGGCAAACGTCAATCCTAAAAAAACTCAACAACAAAGTTCAACAACTTTGGTCAGCCCTCACACATGTTTACTTCATGAAATCTGGTCCTCTTTGAAAAAAGTTTGGGCACCCCTAGACTAAGAGGATTTAGCAAATGGAAGATGGGGTAGGGAAGAGGCAGAAACCAAGTAAAGGTAATATGGAGGGGGAAATGAGTTCATTAATGGGCCAGAGGCACATGGAGTTGACCCAGGATTGCAAGTGGAGCAGAAGCGTGTTGGAGAGTGCATTTTGTACTACTTAGGGTAAAGGTAAAGGGACCCCTGACCATTAGGTCCAGTCGCGGACGACTCTGGGGTTGCAGCGCTCATCTCGCTTTATTGGCCGAGGGAGCTGGCGTACAACTAATGGGTCATGTGGCCAGCATGACTAAGCCACTTCTGGCAAACCAGAGCAGTGCACAGAAACGCCGTTTACCTTCCCACCGGAGCGGTACCTATTTATCTACTTGCACTTTGACGTGCTTTCGAACTGCTAGGTTGGCAGGAGCAGGGACCCAGCAACGGGAGCTCACCCCGTCATGGGGTTTCGAACAGCCGACCTTCTGATCGGCAAGCCCTAGGCTCTGTGGTTTAACCCACAGTGCTACCCGCGTCCCATCACTACTTATGGTACGTAAGATTATATATGTACCCTTAACACCTTTAACCTTGCTTCTGTGCAAAATCAGAGTGGTTATGAAATGTTGAAAGCATTCTGTATATTCAGAAAGGTTGAAGGAAGAGTCTTACATATGTGTTCAGAACTAGCTGCAGTAGATACTCTGGATAACTTAATACTGTATGACATTTAAAGTGCTACCCTGAAACTGAGAGGGCACCCCCTTTGCCATAAACTATCTCAATGACTTACTATGGTACCCGAGGGAGCGGGTGGCGCTGTGGTCTAAACCACTGTCAGCAGTTTGAATCTATGCAACAGGATAAGCTCTAGTTACTGTTTCCCAGCTTCTGCCAGCCTAGCAGTTTGAAAGCACACCAGTGCAAATAGATAAATAGGTACTGCTGTGGCAGGAAGGTAAACAGCGTTTCCAGGTGTTCTGTTGCACCAGGAGTGGTTTATTCACATTGGCCACATGACCTGGAAAGCTGTCTGTGGGCAAACGCCAGCTCCCTCGGTCTGAAACAAGATGAGTGCCGCACTGCATAGTCACCTTTGACAGGACTTAACTGTCCAGGGGTCCTTTACCTTTCTCTCTTTTTTACTAACATATAAAAGTTTCACATAAGAAAACCTGATGTCTGACACTTGTCATTTTCTCTGCTTGATTTAAAGTTTGTTTTTAATACGCTGCAGTTGCAGGAAGCCTCAAAAGTGTGTGTGCATGTGCAGGGGTGTCTGTAGGAAGCTTAAGTCTGCAGTGGTCCTGGACATGTGAACTTCCCATTCTGCTCAAACAGTGAACTGCTCCATTGCACACATCTAAAATTTAGATGCCCACATTATCAACTTTCTTCTTCATTGTCTTATGAAAAGGTCCAAGAAAGTAGAACATATATTAGTATATCTTTGAGCATTGTTACAGTGTGGTACAATGTTGAAAATTTCACCTAGTAATCCAAGGTCTTAAAACTCTGCTGGTTCTACTGAGTAGAATATCAACCTTTGTGAATTATATAGTGTCCCCTATAGTGGGCTATGAATGACTTGACACCTGACGTTGGTGTGTGGAGCATGGCAAAGAACCAGCACCACTTTTAGAGAGCCAGATGCCTCTATCACCATTGCTGCTTTCAGTCTGGAAACAACCTATGAATTGGGCTGTTCATTATTGCCATTTCACAGAACAGAGGCTGAGCAAAATAAAATACATTGTTTAGGCTTTCTGGTGAATCTTCAGCTGACGGGATTGGAACAAAGTTCCCCCATGTCTTCAGTAAGTAGGGGCTGGGTGGGCTGGAGTGATGTTGGTTGTGTACCCTGCTTGTCCTTACATCTGTGTATTCCCTTAGGCATACTCCGGGCTGAGCAAATGGAGGAGTCTGCTGATGACACTGGGGAGCCCCAAACAGCCGGCAGACTTGTTTGCATCAATAATGACAGAGTCAAGGCCGTGCAAGAAAGCGGACAATGAAATTAACCAGACAGTGGCTGTGCTTTGTAAGGATTTTTCCATTCTGAGGTAAGCTGCATCACTCCGGGAGAGAGAAGTGTAGGGTGAAGTAGGAAGTGACAGGGAACAGAAAAAGTGTGAAAATGAATGAGGCACAGAAGGAGATTCCTAGATGGATGGGAGACTCTGCAGGTTATATAGCCCACGAAGGAACTTGCAGCTGTTTACAAATGGGCACACAACAGAGCATGTGCTAGAATACTGCACATAAGAAACTTTACTGGGTCCTCCAACACATTTTTAACCATTTATTGTCAAACTTAGAGCCTGATCTTAATCACATTTACTTGGAACCAAACCCTACTGATTTCACTGAGACTTGTTTCCTGGCAAGTATACTTAGAAGTTCAACAACAGTTTGTGAACAGCTCCTAAAGTTAAATACCTGTAGCAAAAGAACAGGCAGAGGATAGTCAGTGACCACCCACACTTATAGGCAGCAGCAAACAAGGGCAGAATGGGGAATTGAGGCAAAGGATGTGAGAACAGATGAGGTCAAGTGAGAAGGGAAGACAGCTGAATGGACAGCTGAGTTGGAAGCTTAGGGGTTGAAGTATAAAACACAATGGGTGCAATACAGGGGTTAGGTGCACATTCCATGCAAATCACTTAGCTGTGTGCTTAGTTCCTACAGATTTGCCTACAAAGCACCATGCACAAGTCATTAGCAGAAAATTTGACAAGCTGTTTAGTGAACCTGGATGCACTAAGGCTATAAAAGTTAGAAGGCCAGATTGGGGGAGTCACTGAGGTCTGTAAGACATCTATGCAGCTTGCCAAAATACCCCATAGTCTTGGAATAGGTCTTGGAAACCTGTACCTGTAGTTGAGTCAGTGGAAGAGATTAGGGATGCTGTTGGTTAAGTGCCCACCCTGTTGCCCAATGGCTGTCTAAGGTAGTCTCAAGTCCAGTGTTGGGGGACCCCAGGACAGTGGTTCTGCATGACCTCGACATTCATGCCAAGGTTGCTTTGTCTGGTCCAGTTTGGGACTTCATGGCCTTCATGGGCCTGTCCCAAATTGTCAATGGACCAATACACAGGGTAGGACACACATTAGCTTTAGGCGTCACTTCAGGGTGAGTGGCTTGTGGTTTGCATATTGATCCCTTTGTTGTGGGGAGGGGCCAATTTGGACGGCATGCGCTTTGAGACCTATGAAATCTGATTGATTCCTGAGTGCTCTGGAGGATTTTCCAGTAGCCAATTTTGGTAATTTTGTTGAGGCTGTTTCCTAATTGTAGAACATTAGGGTGAGGAGGCCTGTTGACACAGTCGCTTCAGTGTGTCTGGTCTGACACTGCAGAGCTCATTCTGCTCCTCAGTTCTCTTCATAGCTACGAGCAACAAAAGAGGCCAGGTAACAGCTGTAGCAGGCTGAACAGTGGTTAGAATGCATATCTGCAACTATCACATAGCGATGATGGCAGTGAAAAAGGTCCACCATTCCACTTCCATCAAGCAGAGCTCTTTCTAGTTAAAATGTTGTTACAACCTGCCTCAGTCACTCGGACACTGTAACCACCACAAGCCTGCTGTTTAGGCACACCTGTTTAGGCAAGCATTCCCCGGAAGTGAACTTATGATTTTATTGTTTCGATAGGGGCTTTTGTTTTGCTCTTTCAAATGCTGCAATGGAATACTTATTGTGTATTTTAATTATGTATTGATTATGTATTGATTTTATAGTTGACATATAAGTGGTACATAAATTAGATGACAATGAGGATGATAATAATATTGCTACATCAAGCCTCCTGTGTGTGAGAGAATCAGAAGTGGCATCAGACCAAATGGTAAAATGAGATGCTTTTTGGGATAGGAGCCTGGCCTCTATCATAAAAACCAAACAAGCTGAGTGTTTGCCTAGGCCCAAAAGTTGTGAGCAGGGCCACCAAGTGTGCATAGTGCCCCTGGAGGACAGTTGAGGAGAGCATGTCTAGACTGCACAATGCAAAAATAATTTCAGATTTGGGTGCAAGCCAAGGAGTTTGGCAGTTCCAGCTCAACACAGAAAGTGCCAAACTCTGCACCTTTAACTTTCCTCTTTTTAGATCTGTGCTTAAAGGATTTCGGTGTGGGATAGTAAATGCCTGAGATTACAAGAACATCACACTTGGACCACTCAGAACTCGTGAGGTGGCAACGTGTGCTTACTCAAGTCTATTGCATGCTTACTCCTCCTTAGCAAGTCCTCCTTAGTTCAGTGGAACTTGCACCACAAACTTTGTACATGTTTACTTGGGGTGAATGTGCATAGGATTGCAGCCCTACTCTTAATAGATGAATTTAGGATTGCAATCTTAGCATAACAAAGAGGCTTCCTGCAGGATGATGTGTAATAAGATTTCCACTGAGGAAAAAGCAACTGTATCAGTGGAAAGACCTCGGGCGTGCAGAGAACAAGGGGAGTGTGGAAATGCTTTATTTCGTTTGCTGCATATGGTGAGGTGTTAGTTGGCATCAGGTTTTATAGCGAGACATTCTTAGGAGGGAAGTATTGATTGGGAAAACTGGCTGATAGCAAAAGAATAGTCCATTTCAGGGATAGGATTGGTAAGAGGAAAGCTTTTGAGAATAGACAGATGTTTCTCTGAAACAATCCTGAAATTGCAGCCTTGGGTGTATATTGAAGTCACTCCTATGCATGCATTAACTAGGAAGTAAGCACCATTGGGGGATGCGGGTAGTGCTGTGGGTTAAACCACAGAGCCTAGGACTTGCCGATCAAAAGGTTGGCAGTTTGAATCCCTGCGACGGGGTGAGCTCCTGTTGCTGGGTCCCTGCTCCTGCCAACCTAGCAGTTCAAAAGCAAGTCAAAGTGCAAGTAGATAAATACCGTATTTTTTGCACCATAACACTCACTTTTTCCCTCCTAAAAGTAAGGGGAAATGTCTGTGTGTGTTATGGAGGGAATGCCTACGGGTGGCATGCCTACAGATTTTCCTCCTCTAAAAACTACGTGTGTGTTATGGTCGGGTGCGTGTTATAGAGCGAAAAATACGGTAGGTATCGCTCCGGCAGGAAGGTAAACGGCGTTTCCGTGCGCTGCTTTGGTTCGCCAGAAGCGGCTTAGTCATTCTGGCCACATAACCCGGAAGCTGTACGACGGCTCCCTCGGCCAGTAAAGCGAGATGAGCGCCGCAACCCCAGAGTTGGCCACAACTGGACCTAATGGTCAGGGGTCCCTTTACCTTTTTTAAGCACCATTGAGCTCAGCTGGATTTATTTCTGGGTAAACATGAAATATTATTGGCTGCGTGACCTCAAAACTGTCCTGAGCCTGCAAGATATACATGGATATGGTTGTTGACAAGAGTTTTTCTGAAACAGGCTTTTTAGGTGTTTGACTCTACTGTTGAATATGGGAACATGTGGAGCCAAAGTATATATTGAGCTAAGCTGCATTGAAACCAGTCTGGCCTGGTTCAAAACTGTGATGTTAGCTTACAAGAGTATCAAGGCTGAAAGGAAGGCAGTAGGAAAAGCCCAAAGTCAGAGCAGAAAGTCATATTGAGGGCACCTTACTGCATGCATTGGGGTTCCGTACAAAAGCCATCATGTGTTAATACTATGCAGAATGGAGATTAGTAACACTAAGTATAATTCCTAGTGCCCATCTGGTTATTGAGACAGGTAAGAACATAGTCTGTGGTGTCCTATCCTGACCAGGCATGAATAGTATTTAGCCATGCTCAGGTACCCAGCTGTGAAATTTAGAGCCAATGCAAGAAACAGAAGACAAACCCCCTGAAATGATTCACATTTAGGGGTGCAGCATATTCTTTGATCACAGAAAACTACAGAGGTGCCTTGTGGATTTTCATGACCATGGAAATGCTCCAAGATTGCTGGTCACCCTAATTCTACAAGTTTAAAGCAGGCTGATCACTTTTCAAGTTTGTGAGCTTTTCTTTTTCTAGCTGGCTTCTCCTGGAAGAATTAAGCTGTTGGCAAGAGCTTATGACAGGTTGTTCCCCCTTGGGATTTCAAAGCATTCGTGGCAGGGAATGGCTTAGTGGTCTGTGAGCGCTTCATTTAAAGAAATCTTAATATGGGAAGCCTTAATTTGAGTCCTTCCTATATTAGACACAGAGATTGGCAGAGAATCTGGTGTTCCTGGGGCTATTAATGGGGAGACATGGTTAAATTTCCAAGAGGGCTCTCAAGAGTCTTGTGGGCAGAATAATGAAGAACTGGCATGTCAGCACTGTGCAATTTAGCCAGCGTCAAATATACCAAAGAGCTTTTATGCCAGAGCACAAAAAAATGCACTTGGGACACTTGCAGTAAATAGCACTCCACTGAGATTCCTAGAATCTAAATGAGAAATCACTGCACAGGAACTGTCCATGCTAAGAAAATAGCAATCACTGTTCAGTAGCCATGAGGAGACTGCTATCCACACAGACTAGACCTCGGCACCTTTTTCAAACTGTCCTTGTAAGCAGGGTTCAGATGCTGTAGATCATGGATTGAGAAACACTTGGTCCTCCGGATGGTTTTGGACTCCCAGTGCCCATCAGTCCCATCCAGCATAAGCAGTGGCCAAGGATGATGGGAGTTGTAGTCCCATAACATGTGGAGGGCCACGTTTCCTATCCCTGTTGCAGATAAAGATTCCACAAGAAAGCCTTGATTCACTTTCTTATCTTCCTCCACTCATTATTCATTCATACAGACTGCAGCCAGAGTTTTCCCCGAAACAGCTGATGTAACATCTAAAATCACCTCCTCCTGGTCTAAACTCAGAAACACCACTTTGCCCTCATCTCCCTTGAACATCCTTTCAGATCAGTTTCCCTTGAAGGTCTGCCATCTCCTGAATGACTCCATTGCCAGCACACCCATCTGTCAGGTCACACCTTTAGAACTACACTTGGTAGCTTCCTCCGCTTTCATGTGAGGAATGTTAGAGCTCCATCTCGGGCTCCTCTGTGCCCCAGTACTGGACGAACTTGCCACTCATACCAGGTTTTTCTTTTCTGCTGTTGACTGTATAGCTTTGCA